AGCCCCGCACCAGTGGATCGACGGTATTCCGACACTTCCAGCAAGCCCCCTGGGCCGTTGAGAGGTTCTCCACGGGCCAAGCAACGGAACGCCCAACGCCCACGCGGACGCCCACGCGGACGTGGAGAGTGCGTCACACCCGACGAACCGTCGAGACACTTGTAGATCTTGGCTTCATACAAGAGCTGTGGATGCCTCGTCGAGCAGTTGGGGCTGACCAAATCAGGTCAGACCTAGGGACATCTAGGGACCCTAGGTGAGGAGGTACCACTACCACGTGAAATTCCACAGGTCGATCTGTTCCACAAGCAACTTGACAAAGAAAAGAAGACGGGGAAGCTTTACAAAAGGTTTGCCAGGTGCATTCACCCCGCGTCAATTTGCGGAAGACTCCTTGATCCCCTTCGTCCCTCTCCCTGGCATGGGTTTCTCCTGCTGAGATCAAAAGAAACCTGGGACACTCGGTGTAACCTCTGGGACTCTGACTCTGCTTCTAGCTGTTTGGCTCCCAAGGGAGCCAAAGGACCACTCAAACACCTTCGACTTCAGTCGCGGCCTGGACTTCAGAGGCTCCAGTTTGATGGCCACCTCCTCTCCGGTCCGGAGATTCACACCTGACGAACTCGTTCTAACCGGTTCGGGGCGATTTGATCCACCGGTCCACGCGAACACGGGGCGGATGATGACTCGTGTGGAAACGACCTCGATGGTCCAGGGGGCCGAGCCGAGATGAATGGCGCCAAAGGAGCCAGAGCCGATCTTGCCTCGGGTCGCTTTTGGGGAAGAACAGGCCAGAGCCGCTCGGGAGCGGCGGAGCGACTGCGAGCAGCTACGCATGAGAGAACACAAAGTTTGGGACGCGTCGAACATAACTTGCCGGTGTCCTAGCAGTTTCTATGAGTTTCTATGCTTGTTGTTGGGAGAACTCTGAGAACTCTGAAACCAAGTCAACTGCTGGATCAAGACCCCCCATATATAAATCTGCAAATCAGTGATCATTTCAAGAAAAGCTCGCACGTGAAGCTGGAGATGCACCTAAACCACGATGGTGCCACGATGTCCAGCCCTTCCTAAGGCTCTAAGGGTCGCACTTCCTAAGCGGAACTTCCCTCCGATCGTCACTTCCTCAAGAAAGTCCGCAAAATCCGAAACGACGGGTGCACATCGGCAACCATAGGTCGACACGGTCACACGCGGTTTTGCCACCATAGAGTCAACACAACGGAAGTGGTGGCCACCTCAGGTAATTGCTGTGCAAAAGGGACGGAAACGGACGGAAGTGGTGGCCACCTGGCGAATTGGCATCAAACTCTGCTGGGTGAGAATGGGGCCCCAAAAAGCTCGTGCAGATGAACCGAACCATGTCACCGAGTTTTTTCCGCATGTGCCCGTCCTCGCGGTCACTCGAAGTGGCCTTTGAAGTGCCTTCAAGTTTTGCCTCAAACAAGCATGTGACTGGTCTGTTCAGTCTAAGTCAGTGCCTGAAGGGCGAACGAAACTGCGCCATGTGCCGTGCCGTGACCAAGATCCGAGCCGCCTCCGCCACTTCATTGTTGTCCTGGACCGGGACCTCCATTGCCGTGTTGGGCCTGGAAGGCTTCAAACAGCTCGAAGTCAAGAAATCTCACAGCAATTCATCCAACCGTCAAAGGAAACGCTGCCGGGCGCCTCCAATCAAAGCAACTTCAACATCATCCAACCCCAGAGAACCAAAAAGCCACGGATACATCGAATCATACATGTCCAAGATTCGTCACAACAACAAAGGTAAATAAAGGTGAAAAGCACTACGGCCATGGGTTTAGTTTAGTGAGAGGGTTCTTATGTTTTCTTGGACACGGGGGCTCAATCCAGCATATACAGTAATATCTACCTCTGACTGCCTTGCCACCACATGCCACGCAACATTAGGCCACAGGACAAAACTCCGCGTTTGAATAACCTCTGCTCCAAGTTTTACTTGCATCCAGCAGCGGACTTTCGGGAGCAAGCCTCCGACCAAAACAAATTGAACACTTGCGGCAAAGCAACACAATTCTGAAAAGGTGTCTTCTTCAAAGCATCATCTTAATTGGTGCCAATCTAAATACTGCCCAAAGCAACCGATGTCCAGACATCGACTCATCGACCCCGGTTCGACTGGTTGGACATGTTTGCTCCTCATCCCCCGAGAGTGGGCTGGGCCGCACAAAGGGTGGTCGTTGTGGCGGCGAGTGTGACAAAAAGAAAAGGAACGCGAGTGGGAACCCCAGGAGGAACGCGAAAACTTCCCTTGCAACTCATGTACACCGTCCAGTGCTTGCACGGTCAGTTCGTGGTGCCGATGTCAGAGCTGATCGGAGGTGCCGAGGACTCCAGGTTCTGTTTGTCCATGTCGCACGAGTTCGGGGGGGTCGGTCCATGGCGCAACACGGTCAGCGCTTGTTTTCACCTGAGAGAGCTGTGAGGCGTCGGTAGTGTCCGTTTTCAGGCGGTCGGTCTTCCCAAATTGGAAGGAGCACAGTCAAATACAGCATACAAAGTGTTGCTTTTCCAACCTCTCTCACAATCAAAGGACTACTGAATATACTGGCTGTTTGCTGCTGGTTGAAGTCTACACCCAGACTCCAGCAACGAAAGATATGGCCTGAAATTGTTTGTCCTCCCTCCCACAATCTCCAAGAGTCACAGGTGCATCGTCTGCGAAAATATATCGTCTAAGTAGGGTATATCCCGTTACCAGGTCCTGGTGGATGATGATTGGTAAAGTCCTCTCTCAAAAATAGTGATTGTCTTTTACCGACTGTTATTGGTAATGGGCTACACGGTTACACCCTACGTCTAAGTCTAAATCCTACCCTGGACCCTCCAAGATGAGAGTTCTGCGGACCCTGAAGTTTCAGGGTGGTTTCTGGGCACAGAAGTGGTCACCAGGAAAGAGCCATGAAGAAACAGCGTGCAAAAAACTGCCAAGCAAAACCATCTCAAGCAAAACAATCTATGATGTACCCCCAAAGGAAGCCGATCTTAACGGACTTCTGCCTGTCCGGCCTGATGTCCGTCCTAACAGTGGCGTCGAGTGAAGTGACCAAGTAGAGGCTTCGCTTGGTGCACAAGGCACTCAACTACTGCGTTCAGCAGTTCGGCCGCACTAGCCCATTCGGCGGAGTCGGAGCCCATTGAGGGTTCATCAAGAAATACCAAATACATCCAAATACCTGCTTCTGAATTGGAAGACATTGAAACAATGGTGTCCTCTGACTCTCCAATGAGTTGTCATACAACGAGCGGTTCGCGTTGTTGATTGACGCACGTGACATGGGACGTGCTGGACATCCCAGGATATGTTGTCTGTTTGTCTATACATGAATACAGTATACAGGTGAACATATCAAATAAATAGGGGAGTACATCTTCCATCAAACACAACGAAACCATGCCTGTTTGAACTGAGGCGACTTCCTTCCCTGCTTCCAGTTCTGAACAGAACTAGCAGCTTAGACTTAGACGAAGTCATGAAGCATATCAGTTGCACTCAAGATATGCTCTTGACCGCTTAAGACTGGGTGCAATGGCCCCATAAATGAAGTCGACATGGACTCGAGACAGGTGAAAACGAGGATACGAGGGCAAACCGCTCGTTCATTGTCTTTAACTAAATATCATGAGAAAAAAGTGCACAGAGCTTTCAGTCTTGAACCCCCAAACACCTCAAACATTGAACTTCAACGCTCGTTCGATGTTCTGCCACTGCCGCCACTGCCGCCATGAGATAGGATACGGCCGCTGTGCAGCACAACCATCTTCAAATCGACATGGTTGGGTTATGTTTCAGCTTTCACGGGGAACAAGGATTGGGTCAGCCTCATGTGTGCACAAGCAATTCTCTACAGCCCACAAAGTGTTGGCCATGTTGTCGCGTGGTTCCAATATTGAACACACAAGTAGAAGAAGAACCATAGTTCTTGTCTGGTACCCAAACAAAGCATGATTCTGGGCTCAAATGACTTGTCAATCATCCCAACCCTCTCTTTCCCCAAAGCTGAAAATTGATATGTGCAAATTAAGTAGTGCCCTCGGCAGGAACTACTTAGGGCCTTTCCGCCCCTCTGGATTCGCACGTTCGCCGACACGGTGTGCCAGAGAAAACGCAGTGAAGGTCCGTGTCCATAGCAATTCATTGCCTATGTGGGTTTAGTGAGCTTGTGTCTTCAATGTCACAAGTTTGCCTGTGTTAGGCAGCATCCGGAGGTGCTTTTGTTGAGGGACAAACCTTTAGAACAGTCATGAGGCTCAAAAAGAAAACCAAAGAAAAAGCAAGAACAAGAAGCTACTAGGAGCAAAGGGCATCGCTACTAGGAGCAAGGACGCTACTAGGGGCTCCTGGCCTTACTACTAGGAACAAGAAGCTACTAGGAGCAAGAAAAAGAAACCCAAGAAGCACTCCACATGGGCGCAGGCTTGGTGTATGTCTTGCTCCACTCATGAACGGCCGAGGTGTGCAGTACTGGCGCCTTGGTCATCTTTGATCCATACACAACCGAAGGAGACCCAGGATCTCGCGAAAGATTCTCCAATGACTGCAGCCATGACTCATGACAGTTCACACCGACAGGCCGCCTACAGTATTTAACAGATAAGCACTCCAAGCTGCGATGGCCTTCAACATCCTTCAACTACAACACCCTTGCGAAGTTCAAACCAAATCGAGGCAGGTATATCTAAGTCTTGGATGTTTTCAGATGAATCCATGATGAAACTTGGCGTCATCTGGCTACATAGCAGGAAGCCTTTGTTTGGGGAGTCAGCAACTGAGCATAGCAAATGGCTGTGTGTGTTGACTTCGTTGTAATCCTGTCTCGGCTCGCGCACGTCCTCGTGAGGGCCGAGCCGATGTCCGACGTGGCGCTTGTGGCGCCGTGGAGTGCACTGGCGACATTGACATGAGATGAGATGACGATAGCAAGCCATGCTGGAGAGAAAAATCTTCATATAGTTCTGGTACTGCTTGATTCCTTTATCATCTGCATGCCATGCCAACATCACCAGTTAGCTAGAAGAGATGGCCCTTTTCAAGAAAGGACAGTTCACTGCACTACCCGGGCATTCGGAGCACGCGTTCACTGTTGAGTGCATCAAGAAGAGTTGAAAGCTTACAGCATGAACCGTCTGAGTTGGCACACACGAATGAACTTCACGCCCAATGTGACCAGTCAAGCATCAGCCTCATCTCCCATCAATTGCAGTGGAGGACGCGACTGCAAAGAAAGAGGTGGAGCAGCAGAAGATATGACGAATACCCTAGCCTTCCAAGGCCATTTAAAAACTTGGTTGACCTAATTGTAGTTCAAACCCTTGGGCCTTTGGAAAACAATGTGTGTTCGGTAAGAACCATCACATCCATGGTGGCATATGTGTTCATATATATGGGCCATAGGATCTGGTGCGTAACTTGAAGAAAGACGCAGTACAAACCCCTACCCGACCGGCGACCGGCGACCGGACCGTTGGCTGGTCACCGGCCGAAGGTTGGGAACCCATCGAACAAGGCCATGGAACTCGCAGCCCCGCCCAAGCGTGCGCTCCTTTGCAAACAAAGGATTTCACGATAAGAAACGATTTCACCATGATTCTTGGACCTCAGAGGTCCAAGAATCCTGCAGCGTCAGGCAGCCGATTCTTTCCTCCACCTGAGGCGGTGAATCCCCAGGGCACCGGCCAGGCAGTTGGACCATGAAAGTCGCGTTTGCGTGAGGGTCATCCGGAGCAGCTCGTGTGGGGAATGACAAACCCAAGTTCTGATGTGGACACAAACATTGAAGTCGTATCAAGTGAGTTGTCTCCTTTGGGTTTACTGGAAAAGCTACTGAGAAAGTTTGAGGCGCATGTTTCAAAAAAGGCCAGGAATTGAGCGGAAAGTGCAAGAGCCCCCGTCGGTTTCTTTTTCCACCAGGAACGAGTAGATCTATCACCTCCATTGAAAAGTTGACTCCGGACGTACGGAGAGGATTCACTTGCTTCATGCTGCAAAATGTCGCCCACCACACGGTTGGATGCGGGCCTATACTTTGATTTGTTCGATTTGTCGTTCCAGTGCGACAGTGTTCTTTAGCCGGTTTGTCCTGTTTAGCCGGTTTTATGCACGCAAGTCAGCTCAGGTGAGTGGCTTCTCTAGACAGTTGCCCCTTCTGGGCGGTTCAACAACAGTAATGCCTCGGATACATGCGCAAGGCCAACACAGCACTGTGCCCCGTGCCCACTGGCCGAGGAAGGGAACGTCCAGACACCCCTACCATGCTCTTACGAGTCAAATGAAAGGCCTTTCTTCCCTTTGGTCTTCAGTAGAGGTGGGCGTGACAAGTAATTTGAGGGAGGAACTCGTGTATATATAAATACTTGGAACTCAAACGTGTTGCTTCTCGTACGCCTACTAACATGGACTCTGAAAATGGGCTCCTCGAAAACGCTTTTCCGACCCAGTGGTTTTCAGGCTCGATTAATCAGGAGGAGGGCATCTTGGAAAGCATCCATATACCGAAATCACAACTCTGGCACATGGTGGTTTGCCACAAGCCCTGCATATGTCCTCAGGGTGTTGCCTTAAGAACCCCTGCTTTGGGCTGCACGTTTTCGCCCATGCTCTCGCAAGCGGCCATCCCGTTTGTCCCTCGGGCCGTTCAAAACTGGATCACATTCACAACTATCCATGGGCACATGCCCCGAAGTTTTTGGTCATAAAGATGACAAGGGAGTTGACTGACCAGCTTCTTGCCAATGCAGTTGACGCCATACTGGACCAATTATTCAAGAGATGTCATATACTATGACATGGTTGGTATGACTCGGGCCTTGGACTTTCCAACGTCGGGACTGAATCCTGTAGCCGCCCATAAACGTGCCGAGACACAATTTTTTGCAGGCTCTCAAAGCGCTGCTTGGTGGACCGAGGGAACTGTGGCTGATTGGGGGTCGGCCTGCCGGTGTTTTGATCGAAGACAAAACCGTCCATGTTCTCTGATGTGGGAGGTCTTCGATCAAAGCTGCCATAGTGGAAGATTTAGGGAATACGGTCAAAGAAAAAAATCGTTGATTCACATTCCTTTTCCCCAATGGCCTGGCTGTGTGGCACCTCATCCAACAGCCCAACTGCACGTGCTGCTGGCGGCGCCCTCGGCCGGAAGTGATCGGGAAGGCGACCAATCACCAGCACAGCCGCTGCTTGGCTTTGGGCTGCCTCGTGGATGCGAACCTGTGCACAAACCACAGAAAGACTGTCAGGAAGAAGAAGAAGAAGAAGAAAGGTGATGAATTGCAGTCTTGATGGGGGCTGAGATGGGGTGTCATCTTGGATTGAGTACGGCCGCTTCAAGAGCCGTGCACCCATATCGAAAGAGGGACGCACCCCTGACCAGCAGGGTTACCTTGGTAATTATGATGGTGATGTTCTGGTGGAAACCACGAGTTGATGATTTTGGGGGATTCCCCACAATGGCTCAGGTGCAAGGGCCTGCGACCGTCACAGCCACTACCTGGGAAAAAGAAAGTCTGCGCCATGCCTGCACCACTTCAATCGGCTTCACATTTACATCGGTGACCTGCTCGATGCTCTCGACGTTCACCTCCGCGACGCGTCGACGTTCAGAGCGCCGCCCTCCTTTCGACTGGGTCCCGTTCGCCCTCCACGGCGGCCACACCGAACGGCCAACGCGGAAGCCTGTCGCCGCGGCTCAGTCTCCACCTCTCGAGTGGCCGTGTGGGTGGTGCTTTCCAGCGGGGGCACTTTGACCACCTTCTCCACCACCTGCGCTTGAGGGAAAGGGTTTGGGGCCAGAAACTGACGGTTTCCAGATGTGTGAATTTTATACGTTGGAAAGCAAAAAGAGTCAACAGGACAAGCAAAGGACATGGATATGAGATGTCTCAGCTTCTTTATGTCATCTTCTATCGATGGTGACGTTGTATTCAAATCGTTGTGACAACTATTTGGGCCACCACTATAGGCAGTTCTGAGCACGTGTGAATTCAGCTTGCACAAATCCCCAAGATCTTCATTACAACTCAACCAAACGGTCTTCCGGAGGGTTGGTGTTCTTGACAAGCTTGGTTTGACTGTGGCGCGTGGTGGTGTGCTGGCCCTCGCAGCTCACTAGGGTGGATAGCTTTTTGCGAGGACAGTTTCATAGATCCCCGTTGAGGTCTAACATTGATCTTGTGAGCTAGGATGCGTTTGATTCTGAGGTGAAGGGATGGTTCGAAGGGATTCTGTGAGATTGTGTGGCGTAGATGATCGCAAGCTCCAGTGCTCAACATGAGCTGTAGCTTGGACAGATTCGCAAGTCGCGCTACAACTCAACCAAACCGACAACTAACCAACTGGCTAGCTAGCTAACCAACTAACTAGCTACATAACTATATAACTTATAACTGTTTTGGGGCGGCGCAGGGCTTTTGCTCCATGACGGACTCCTTGACTGTCCCGGACAGTCACAGCTGGTCAGAACTGGTGAACCAGCCTGGCCTGACGGCGTTGGTGCTTTTCCACCTGCACACGATGTCAACTGCGGTTGGCAGGGTTGGAAGTAGGAGACCTTAGGATGGTGGACGTGGAGATTAGCTGTTTGTAAACTAACCATGGAGCGACACTTCGATCCTAGGGAAATGGTAGGGCTTTTGCAACCTCTGCCTTTGACAATATCAGACAGGGGACGAAGGGCGGTGTCATTTCTCGCCTAGCTTCGAGGGTGCACATTGATGACATTAGTTACAACTATTTGGGGTCCTCTTGGTCAACCACTGGCGCAGTTAAACCCTGGATTGCTGCCCTCGCCTGCGCAAGCAAGTGGTCTAAGTCGACAAGGTCCACCATTTCCTTGAACTCATCATCGCTGACGCGGATCTTTCGCCCTTTAAGGCAACTCTCGAATGAGGTCACGAGAAGATCAAGCTCCTGACGCGTTGAGACACAATCAAGATCATCAAGGGCTCAAGTTTTTCGAACCAGGGTTTTCTGATAAAAGTTGAATCACTTTCATTCCGGCCAATAACCCCTAGAATCCAGGAATAACTTCCTTTTTGCTCGAGGAGGGTGTTCACGATTTCCAGAGGAAAAGGCTTACACTGGAGAATGAAGGGTTGTCGGTGTCACTTCATGAAGCTAAACATCGGCAGGTTCACATGGAACTGGTCTTCCTGTCTTTGTTTGACCAACCGAATTGAACCAAGAAGTCAAGACAGTTCTTCTTTGTTTGTCCAGAAAGCCAGTCCTCTTTGAGCCAGGCGAGGGAGTCGACCAAGGCATCTACTTGCAACTTAATGCATTGGAGCTGCCCATAATTCTTCATGCTCTCGGTCAAGAGCAGGTCGGTGGAGACCTCCACCATCTCAACCAACTGGTCGGCCAGGAGTTCCGTCTTCGTATCATCGATTCCCTCAAACAAGTCGACCATCTTGGGGATGAGAACATAGAGCTCCTCCATCTTCTTTTTCAACAACTCCTCTGCTCGGCACCTGAGGCCCAAAAAAAGTGGCACCCAACACGTTTAAAGGACGGCACTCATGGGACCATGCACACATGGTGCGCTTGTGTTGTTTGCCATACCTTGTCAACCATGCTGGATCTTATGAACAGCGGAGAAGAATGATGACGATGGTGATGATGACGACGACGACGATGACGACGACGACGACGATGATGATGGTGGTGATGGTGCTGGTGATGCTGGTGCTGCTGCTAGTGCTGCTGCTGCTGCTGGTGGTGGTGGTGGTGGTGGCGGCGGTGGTGATGGTGGTGATAGTGGTGATGGAAATGATGATGAGGAGGAGAGAAGGGAGCAAGGACAATGATGAATCATGCAGACCATCAGGACGATGTCGGCGATTGGCAAAATGAGCGGACCTTCTCATCAAAGAAATGTATAAGCAAATTATTGCAAACGTGTCCTATCCGTTGCTGTAAATGGGACGGACCCAACAATATCAGTGCTTGTCAAACAATATTGACTAGAGGTGGCATTGGTGTTTTCATCACATGTTCCTTTGTCTCCGGTGTCATCCATTCTGGAAACGATGCATGCTCAAGAGCTCTAGGAATGCACCGTACACATTGACGCAGCAAGCAGCTCTGCACCACGTGGTTTCTTGGACCATCAAGTGACCCCGAATTGATACCAAACCCATTGCAGGCTCTGGGGCTAGCAGGGTTTTGTTAGAGTTTCCCAAGTGCTTGGAGGCTGGTGCAATGGGGCAGAGGGAGTGGGCACGAGCCACCGTTGATCTCCTGATTGACAAAGCGACTGGAAGTTGGGCAGGCTCTTTCGATGGCGGTGGCCCCGGACCTGATCGCCGTCCTGACCGCTTGGGCATTCTCAAGGACTGATAAGAAAGCACAAGGCGAATCAGACTGGACCTGCCAAGGCTATGTACCAAGCAAAGTGCGACAGACCACTGTATATGCAGTGTCATCCTGAAGTATTATAATGAATATTGATGTGGACACTCAAATTGCTGCAATTTAGCCTGTGCCAAACGACTCAACCCCTTGCCTACTGGATCCCAAAAGCAACTTCTGTTGCACAAAATTTGCTCGCGAACGAGACAAAAGGTGTTTCCTAAGTACCTTTAGGGGTGGCGGGGTGGCCCCAAAGCCCAAATGTAAAGGTGCAACGGCCCATAAACAAAGAGGTACAATTACAATACAGAATGTCCCACAGACCCTGCTGCAGTCATCCTAGTTGTTTCGTGCTGATCTACTGGATCTACTTGCTCTGGCAAGCCAAGGTCATGTCCTTGTGCGTCTTCGCTGGCGAGTCTTTGCTCACGTGATCATCCTGAAGAGGCAGTGAGGCAGGAACCACTTTGCGACATCCGACATCCGCTTGAGGAGTTTCGGAGTTGAAGTTATGGAACTATCTGGTATACCCAGTTGACCCCAGAGATCTTGTGGCTTCTCCAAGTCAACTTGAAGGGGTTAAAGTCATGGTCAGAGTTCAGCTGAATGGTAAAATCCGTGCAAAAATACATTCAGGGGCTTCCTACCAATGGGAAGCAATGCTAAGCAATCCAGTGCATGCTGACAAACTCATCTTATTGTGCGCCTTGTACTGGCTGATTCATAAAGGCTCTACAAGAACAGCTAGACTAGGCTGATAGACTGGACGTTCCAACATGGCTCACCAATGCAATTCTGAGAGGACCCCTGCAAATGCAGTATTTAAAGATTCAGTTATATAACTAAACCTTCTTTGGTGGTTCGTCCAAACGATTGCGGTTTGGCAAGGTTCCAAGACCCATGAACATCTGTGTTGCGCCAGAACAATGATAGTTCTCACCGCATACACTTGTGTCAGGCAAGCCTGCAAGAAACACACAGGTCCTTTGAAGAGTTCCCTTCCGTGGTGATCTTAGCTGCCCGATTTCAGGTTCTATGTTTGGCCGTCCTTGTAGCTTGTGCTTGCAGCGCTTGCAACGCTTGCAGCGCTTGCAAAGCGTCCGGCAGCCTCCGGATACGAAACAAACAAACAAGCAAACAAACAAATCAAGACCAAGAACTCTCGTGACTATGCATAATCCAATTTCCAGCTAGGATCCGTTTTGGTCGGCAAAGCCCCACGTGTAGATGAAAGACTGTGCTGAGGTTTGGAAGAAAGTACCGCTTGAGGCTTAATCTTGCAGCAGGGTCGGGGACCTAGTTTTGATCCACTGCACCTTTCAGGTCAGAGCCAGCCTTCGTCGATTGATCTGTCATGCTCCTGGCCAAGGAGAGTTGATCAACTTTGCCGCCGCCCATTCGGGCTGCAGCCAAAACTCAGCAGAAGCCAAACGAACTCCGCTCATCTGTCAAGGAATTAATTTGACCAACCCGGCCGGTCTTCAAGGACAACACGAACCAAATCAGTGGAATGGCACCCCCGTGAGTGGCTGGTAGGACTCAGCAAAAATGAGAATGAGACGTTTAGTATATGGGCTTCTCAGGATCCTCAGGTCAATTCCCTCTACAAAAACAAAAAGATGAACCTTTGACCATGGGTCAAAGACAAAAGTGTGTTTTTTCTACATTGCCTATCGTTCCATGTCGAAACAACAGCCGTGATGCACGCACTCGAAAAACTAGGTTGATTGGTGTCTTGTAATTAGGAATTAAGTATGTATGACCGGTTGCCGCGGCCATCCCTCAAAGGCATATGTGACAAACGGTGTCCAGCACATCATAAAGGTAAAAGGTACAAATACAAAAGGTTCCAACCATGTCCAGGCCTATTTCCAAGAGGGTCGGAGGCTTACTTTTCGATCACGAGAAGCCCGGAGATCTTTTGAGGTTTAGTTTGTCATGTGAACATTCACCCTTGACCCTATTAGTATAGTGCTTCTTGATGATTTTCGTAGGTCAACATTGTTGGGTGCTCCCAAAGATAATTTTTGAATAATGATATGTAGGAGTATTACAATTTACGGTAAGCTTGTCCTTGTACCATGGCTTGAACATAGCTCAGTGGCTGGCTATAGCATAGGCTTCAGGCCACTGCTGAAAAAATAATCAATCCAGGTAAGATTTGGATTCGGATTCCATTGTCCCCTAATTCAAGTGGTTTTGAGGAGGCTCCGAAGCAGTTGCAGAGGGAACTGGTCTGATGATTTCATTGTAGTATGCAGCTGGGTTGGACAAGCACCAACTGTTGCCGTTCACTCACGAGCCGCACGACAGAAAGAAGTGAACAAAGCCAATGTCGCTAAATGAGGAATGAGATGAAACACTCCGCATACATGTTTACAGTTATGCACTCCCTCACATCCCAACATAGCATCCTCCACTAATTAAGTGCTTTTTGCATGATGGATCCCTTTACCTGATCTTTGCTAGCTGCTATTTATGTCTGGGTGGGCCTTTTTCTGCTTCAAGATATTTCAAGGTCCCCTCTTTCAGATTCCTTCACCCACCCCAATACAGGCCTCAGCCGCGATGGAAGAAGGCAAAAAAAAAAAACTAAAGCTATGGAGGCTCAATGAAAAGCCACTAAATACATTGGCTGGAACCAACGGCACGGCGTTCGGACGCAGTTGCAGGAGTTGGATGAAGCAATGCACAGGCAATCAAAAAGAAAAATGTATATATATATTTTTTTTATATAACAATCTATAACTGTAATGTATATATATATATAATCCCACCGTTGAGTTTGGAGTTGATCTTACAGAAGGGGTGATTAAATCTTTTAAGGCTTTAGCAGTTTCTTGAGTGAAGCAAAGGCAAAAGTATGCAATCCTGTAGCATATCACAACTTCTCGGCGCTCCTGGCTCAATGTCCACCCAAAAAGAGCCCTGCAGCTTGGATCACTTTGACCATCCTTCATGGCTGCCAAGTTGTAGTTGGAAGTGCAATAGGGTGCCAAAAGACTAAAGATCCACCCCGCACCAGCCTCTGTTGTAGATCCTCCAAGAACAACACTGGTCATGAAAAACGAATGTGTCAGTTGCAGACACCTGAAACCGGTGTCACGATGTCAGGATCAATTGATATTCTCAACTCTTCGCCAGTCACCAGCATGGCAGGAATCCCTTGGGCTGGACCAAAATATTCTAATCTTGGAAGGGGTTCGGCCCGGTTTTAGGAGGACCGCACTTTGTTCAAGCGCATCTTTCGGGAAGAAAAAACACCAACTCACTCACGGCGGTTGCTTGTGTCACTGTCGCACATGGCACATGGGATAAAAAAAGATGAGAAGAACTCACTGCAGCGACGTTCACGTTTGCTCCATGTTCACCCCAATGCACCCCAGCGACCTGTCTTCAACCTCTTCGACAAGCTGCAGACTCGCATGGCGCAGTGTTTTCCCAGCCTGCAACTGCTCTATCTCTCTCGAATTTGCCCGCCTTCACAGCTACCAAGCTCTACCATAGCGTCGCACCTCTTGCGGCCCAACATGAGCGCAGTCACGGTCGACCACTGGTCGTTTCTGGGGTAGCTGCAATTCCGGGGTGGTCTTTGTCACGCAAAGCGTGCTTCATCTTCAAAGACTGTTCCAGGTACTGCAGCGCTTGTTGGAAGTCTCCTGATTTTCAACTGACATTGCCCAGCTCATGCAATGTGTCTGCAATGCCGGGGTTGTCTTTGTCATCCAACAAAGCATCCCTCGTCTCCAAAGACTGTTCCAAGTAGTGCCGTGCCTGCTGGAAATCTCTTGCTTGTCGACTGACATTGCCAAGCTCATGCTGCAATGCCAGGGTGGTCTTCGTCGCCGTGGAAAGCATGATTCATCTCCAAAGACTGTTCCAAGTACTGCCGTGCTTATTGGAAGTCTCCGGTTTGTTGACTGGCACTGCCAAGCATATGCAATGTGGCTGCAATGCCAGGGTGGCCTTTGTGGTCGTGCAAAGCATGCATCATCTTCAAAGACTGTTCCAGGTACTGTCTTGCTTGTTGGAAGTCTCCTGTTTCTCGACTGACATTGCCAAGCTTGTGCAATGTGAAGGTCCCCTTGGTGTAGCAACTGGAGCTGGAACTCCAAATGCTGTGTTTCTTCAGGAGTTCCCCTGCTGCTTCTGAATCTGGCAAACCCACATCTATGTGGCGCTCAGCACAATGATTTTGCCCTTGCAGCGATGTGCAAGGGGGTTCTGGGACAGGCAGGTGCTCTAAATGGTGAGATTGATTTGAATCAAGATTTTGGACGGTAGCTGCTCCAAGCGATCTTTGGCAAACCCGTCTCTTGCTGCCCTGCCTCGACCTGAAGAAGAAGAAGAAGAAGAAACAAGAACAAAAATACATGTCTCTTGAATGGTAACATATGGTAGAATCAATCGGCGATGTAGCGGCAAGGTACTGCGCATAGAATCAGGAGTCTTGAAGAAAAACAACTGAAGGGGCTAAAGGCTAAAGGGTTTGATGCGTTCCCATTCAATCCACCTAAGAGAATTGAAATGCTTCACTCATGGAACCACTAAAACATCTTCACAACACCCCACCTCCGGGATCTCCTCGAAAAGTCGCTCCTCCATTTGCTTTCCCTCACACAAGTAGCGCTCTCCTTCTTCACTAGTGGCCGCAAGAAACTTCGCTCCTCCATGCGCCTGCATCGTCGACCCGACGACCTTCAGCATTCGCGCTGTCTCCGGGTGATCCTGCGATGCGATCGAGCCACCCTGCGGTCCATGCAAGCGGCAAACCATTTGCAGTGATTCCTCGGCTGTTTCCCGCGTCGGCGTTGTCTTGGCTTTGAGAACGAACTGGAATGTATGCCGACCGAACTGGAGTGGGCTCGCCACCCGGCGGTGTGCATATGGTGTTCGAGCAAGGGGGTGACCTGCGGTGCCTAATCCCATTTCTTGGGCCCCAGATCGTCGACTTGGCCTGGCTACAGCTTGAATCAGGGAATTGGGGTTCAGACACCCACCAGGATAGTGATTGGTTTGTTGCTGAAGGGATGCCAATGCCAGACCAAGACAATATGTATACATACATTATGTATGTGTATATATATATATATACATATACATATATATATATGTGTTTTTGATATGTTGGCAAATACTAAACTAGGGGAACCATGAGCTGTCTCAGTCACGTTTCCAGCATGCAATCCCGTCATTAAAAGAAGGAGCCTGGCTTCAGACGAGAGTCTCTGATGTAGCTGAGGCCTTCTTCCGTTCGATCTAGTTCTTCCAGCTTCATTGATCCAAGCAAAAAAAGTGTCTCTGCAAGATCTCTGTGGTCTTCCTTGTGCAGTCGGCGTTCCATTTGCAGGGCATCATCCAAAGACTTTTCGCCTTCAAGAAGCTGCCCAGTCTGAATCTGGCATGCGCCAATACGGCACCTTACTTTCTTCAACAAAGAATCACTACTCTGGACTGGAGCTTCAAACCCAACCTTATCCCTAACCGACAGAGCTCAGTTTTAAGTAAAAAGGTCTATTGAAGCACAGAGAAAAGCAGCAAGGAGTCCACAATGCAATCGCGATCGCCGAACAAGCGCCGCTTCATTTGCAAGGACTCTTCTAAATAGACCACCCCCTCACGCTCAGCATCTTCATCTCCATGATCAATTATCTCGGAACCCAAATCATCCAACAACCCTGCCAGGTCTGGATGATCTTGGTTTGAATGAAGCTGCCTCTCCCAGTGTAACAGCTCCTTTAGGCACTTCAGAGCTTCACTCATGAGCCGATCTGGAGAGCTCAAACGGATCGCGGCGACCGGCGCCGGCTCGCGCGACCGCGGCGCTTCGCTCGTCGTGGCACGGCCATGGCGTTGACAGATCTCTAAAGACTCGGTCAGCTTCGGTAGAGCTGCCTCAACATCGTAACTCTCCAACAGCGTGATGCCCATCAAACGTAATGTCAACGCAATGTCAACGCGAAGGTCAAGTCCTTGAGCTTCCAAGCGCAGCTCCATTTCCATAGCCTCATTGAGATATCTGAGGGCTTCCTCGTACTGTCCAACCTTTCTGTAACTCGAGCCCAGCAAACGCAAGGTCTCAGCAATAGTTTGGTGATCTCCCTGATTGTGCAAACGCCTGTCCATCAGTAAGGCGTCTTCCAAGTGTCGTTGGGCCTCTTCCTGTTCTCCGTCCTCCATCTTCTGCCTGCCAATCAAGCGCTGCGTTTCAGCGATGGCAGGGTGATCTCCATCGCGCAAGTTTCGCTCAATGTCAAGAGACTCCTCAAGAGAGCTCAAAGCTTCTTCGAAGTTCCCAGACCACATGTTTTCCTGGCCGTGCAAGCGCAGCGCTGCGGCCACTTCCGGGTGAAGAAGATCCTCCCTCCGCAAGACATCCTTGGATGCTTCGGCTTCCACTGCAAAGGCTCGGTTCGGCGTGGGCGGACGGCTCAGGGACATGGAAGTGGGCCAGGAACAGGCAGGGCTGCGCCCATGTGTGAAGGCAGTCGGCTGTGTAAAGGGAGCACTGGATCCTTCCTCCGATTCATAGACCTCAGGTGATGGACCTGGTGGGTTTAAGGTCAAGGGAACATTTGGAATCAGCAGCTACACCCGCACAACATCTCCCAGAGTGTGTCTGCTGAGCGATGTGAACAAAAAAACATGTGATTGACAGTGCAGTTTCCCTTTTCATTCCTTTTCCAGCAACAGGTACTGGGTGAACCCTTCAACTCAATCACGCGTGACCTGCCGATTGATTCGGCATGAGTCCGGGTCCTTTCCCCACGAAAAAGTCGATCCAACATGGGGTCCATAGTGTCGATGTGTCCTTCCAAAAGGCGAAGAAAAGCACGTGAGGACAACTACCACCTGTTGCAATGTCAGGAAAAGCTGAATGGTAATATCAGTATAGTTGCAGCAAAGTGCTTGAATTCACCAATAGTCCAAAATCCTTTTCTGCCAATGCAGTGGTACTTCCTGCAGTACAAATTGTTGGGCACCTTCTCAATTCCCACCAAGACACACCCAGAAATCCTGCTTTCACCACCTCACCACCGGCCCCAAGCACCTCTCACCTCAAATCCCAAATCCAAGTCACCAAACGTGCATCCACCAAGGGAAACAACATGTCCTCGATTCGCCGTGTCAACCGGACGATCCACGCCGCAGAGGACACCGTCGCCGCAGAAGTGTCCACCCTGGCTCCGTCGGTCGTGGAGGCCGCGTTGAAGATCTGCTGGACGACGGCCTCGCGCGCCAGGCGTTCCTGAAGATGGCGGGATAGGCCGTTTACCCCCCAACGGTTTCTGTGGGACTGGAGGGTTTCTGAAGTCGTGGAGGCCAGTAGGTGGGTCTCTGAGGTCTTTCAGCTTGGACCTCCCAGGAGATGGAAGGCGTTTCTTGTGGAGCCCAGGCGGCCCGCATTTTGGAGGTGAGAAACTCGGGAGACACAAGCTCATTGAAAACAGGTACGATTTCTGAAGATGGTTTTCTCCAGACGCAGGTGCTTGAGGGAGAATTCCCCAAATGAAAAATCCATGTTGAAAACAAAGAAAAAACTCTCCAAGGCCTTGGGTTGCTGCAATGTGACCTGCTGGGTCGACTTTCCTGCTATTGGCGTCGGATGCAAGTTGGACACAAATGGACGTTGCTGT